CATGCACAAGGCCCTGGGTTCAATCCCCAGCACCACAAAAAAAAAAAAAAAAAAATTAAAATATAATAAAATCCTAGAGGCAGGAAGATGACGGGTGCCAGGGCTCGGCAAGATGGAAAGGCCTAGAGACAGGCTGGTGAAGGCCACACAGAAGAGCAGCCGGCCAGAGGGGATCAAGGCTTTCTTCTACCTGCAGTGCAAGGGGTGGAACCTAGGGCCTCCGGCATGCGAGGCAAGCACCCAACACCTGTGCCATCCTCAGCCCCTAAATGGTAAATTTTAAATTATGTGAATGGTATCACAATTTTTAGAAATTTTAAGTACAGTAATAAAGTATCATTAGACAACCTGTCATCTTTAATAGAATGGAAAATCAAATTATGAGTCTTTTAAGCAAAAAATAATAATGAAGTACTTTTACCATAAAAAATCAATTATGAAATTAACGTGACAATGTCACCCACCTGTGGCCCATCCCAGCACAGGCTGTCCTGGGTTTGCTTCTGTTTTGGGGTTGGGGGTCTATGTTGCCCAGGCTGGTGTCTGATTGCTAGACTCAAGGGATCTTTCTGCCTCAGCCTCCCAAGGGCTGAGTCTACTGGCAGGTACCACGGCACATGTGGCTTTCTGGATAGCAAACCTCAAGATTACAGATTTAGTTCTCTACTGACCAGGGGACTACTCAAGTGTTATCCTCCTTTAGTCTGTGTTATTATGAGAAACAGAAAGTCCAGTAGTTCATTTTCAGAACAAGGTATTTAGCCTTTAGTTTAAAATTGAGATATAAGAAAGGCGGCTGGAGGGGAGAGCAGAGTGGAAAGTTATAAGCAGGTAATACCAGAGTGTAAAAACTCACAGCCCCAGTCAGGCATGGTGGCACACACCTGTAATCCCAGCAGCTTGAGAGGCTAGGCAGGAGGATCTCAAGTCCAAGGCCAGCCTCAGCAATTTAGTGAGGCCCTAAGCACCTTGGCAATACCCTGTATCAAAAAAATAAAAAGGGCTGGGAATGTGGCTCAGTGGTTAAGAATTCACAGTCCCTTGACAGACAGGAGGTGAGACAGAAGGGGCCTAACCTGACCAACAGAGATAAACTGTGTATGTGCCAAAAGGCACTCAACCCAGGGGACTTTCCCACCACAAGTAAACAAAGGGAGGTAAGGACAACCTAGGGTTTATTTCTTTGAATAGCACAATAGGAGACACTAAAACCTAGGCCTGTGCACCCCAGAGAACCAAGCCAATGAGGAGCCAGGGGAGGGACCTTGCTCCTGGGGGATGATGCTGGCTGTGCTGCTGTATGGGCCTGCTCCGCAGACACCTGCTCTCCCAAGACTGCCCTGAGCTCACCTCTGAACAGTTGTACCTCGGCCCATCCTTTGGGTTTGGACAAGGTGTGTTTCTCATGCCACCAGGTGTCATACAGCCACGTGTATGTCAAGCTCTTCCACACAGGGACCACTATTCACCCAAGCATCCTTAGCTTCCTTTTTCATGCTCATGACCCTGAACGACTTCCCTTCGCACAGGCCTTCTGCTGGGAAATTCTGTTTGTCTTGAAAAGTCTTCATGAGCTTCACCCTCAGCAAGTCACCTTAGCAGGGGTGGCCTCTGGAACTGGCTACCACCTCCTTGGCACCTGGGGATGGTCACTGATATCTCCTGCCTGATCTTTACTGCTGGAGGCCAGCTGCCAGGCACGGGTGCTGCTCCTGTGGGGACAGCCCTGCACCCCTTCCAAGGCCCTATCTTGGCTCTCCCCTCAGCACACTCATGGTCCAGTTGCATGTGTCCTTTTATTTATGCTGTTTGTTTTGTGAACTCTTACCAGTTCTCAGCCCTGCGCTTCCCACAGGCTCTGCTAGCCAACTGCTGGCCCTCTCTCCATCTGCCCAGACAGCCTTCTGATCTACTCCCACAGCACCAGCTCTCTCTTCAGCTGCGTCAGTCGCCAGTTCTGTCCACTGAGTCCTTCATTTTGGTTACAGCGAGTTTCAATTCTAGAATATTCATCAGGTCTTATTTCAAGACTTGCTGTCACTTTTCACTTGCTGAGTTTCCCATGTGCCTTGTACTTCCTAAGACAGTGACAAGCCTTGATTGAACACCCTCTGGCTGCATTCCCATGCAGTGCAGCGCAGGCGCCTGCTCACAGCATTTCTCACGGAGCACCACGTCTCTGACCCCACCCCACGGGGTGTTCTCATGGCAATGTGCCTTCCTGCAGAGAGGACTGCTACTCCTCGCCTTGACCTAGGTTCAAGGTGTGAGACCAAGAGGAGCTCAAGCCATGAGGCATCCAGAGTGGGCCTGGGAAAGACCAGACTTGGCCAAAAGCAACTGCAGCTTGAGGTGGGCGGGGCTTTAGGCCCCCTAGACCAGGTCGGACACCTTCACCAGATCATTCTCTGCATGAGAAGCTGTCGAGCCCACTGGAGTCCACCGCCTCCCTGGCCTGCACTGCAGGCAGCGGCAGCAACTCCCGCCTGGTGACCTCCAAAGCATCTGTCTCCCAGGGCAAGATCAACCTGAAGGTAAATGCTACTCCAGGTGAGCGGTCACCAGAGCTGGTTCTGTGTGGTGGCAGTTTCTCTGGGGTCAGTGAACTTTGGGGCACAGCTGCTATCCCCCCTTGTGAGGGTCCCTGACTTCTGTTTAATACCTTAGGATTTCTTGAAATACAGAGTCTGCTTTTCCAAACTGTTTCCAGTAGCAGACTGGCCTCAGTCTTCTGCAGTGTCCAGAACTGGGGCCCCAACCACTTGTGCCACAAGCACGGAAATGTGGCTATCCACATGGGGCTTCACAAAGTTGCTGGGGAAAAGTGTGAAACACCTTCATAATTTCTCTCATTACATGGTGCAATGGTATTTCAAGTGTCCTGGGTTATCAAACAACCCACACTAGGCTCAGATATGTGCCCATACAAAGTGGAGACGGCTGTGCGGTCAGGGCCTGGGCTAAATAAAACATGGTTTGTTTGTTTGTTTGTTTGTTTGTTTTTAATTTGGAAAAACAGCATGATTGTTTTACTAATTCACTGCATGACTTCTATTTTTCCTACCTTTTTTTTTTGCTGTTTATACTGTAATTTATTTTCAATAAATCACATTCTTCAGGCTAATTTCATCTGCTTCTTTTGATTTTCTTCAATGAGACCACTAGAAAACTCAGACCTATAAGATGACTAGCACTGAGAGTCCCTCAGGCAGTGCAGATAAAGTCAGTAGGCCACCCTGACAGGAAGGGACACAGCAGGCTACACAGATCTTTTGTGAAAACTGATGCCCCTGTCCAGGGCAGATGCATGCTCAGAGATGCCAACTGGCCAGTACATAAGAGTTTTGTCCCTCCCAGCCAGGACGGCTTAGCTTGACACAGCCGTGAAGTCCCCTGGGTCCCAGAGCACTTACACAGTGAGTGAGCTGAATAGATGGTCCTCGGTCTCAAGGAGCTAACTGTCGACAAATGGGACTGTAACTCCAAAATCTCTTATAGAATCTCACCTACACCACCCAGATAGCCCTGAACCCTCAGAACAACACAGCGGTCACCATGTGCTTGGTGCTTGCCTGTGAAACAACCCACACTAGGCTCAGACATGTGCCCATACAAAGTGGAGATGGCTGTGTGGTCAGGGTCTGGAGTTTCTGCCCTGGCTCTGGCACCTATGAGCCACACACCTGGCCACCCTCAAGCCTGGCTTCCTACCCTGGTGTTCCTCTCCAGTAAATCCCTGGCAGTGCAACCCCACTGCAGGTCTGCATCCTGAGAACCCAACATGGACAACTAGCTTCTCCATTCCACAACCTAGGAAAGAGATGTGAAAGGGAGATAGCACCCTGGAGGCAGCATGTGAGCAGAAGCAAGGGTGGCCAGGGTGGTCACATGACCTTCCCTCGCAGGACAAGGAGACAAGAGTTACAGACCCTCAAAGGTATACATGAATAAGTCATGCTCATCCAACTTCAGAAGTTTCACAGGCCTTCTAGAGAATCCTGGGCCTGGTTTTAAAATGTGAAAACCTAATACCTTCCCATAGCTCAACAGCAAATATACCAATTCTAATGACTGCAACATCACACGTCTCCATCAACTGCCCATACAGGAGACCCATTCCCGAGGCCCCCACAAAGCACCTGTCCTAAGGCATCCCAGGAGTCCTGCAGCCCCTGCAGCTCTCACAGTCCAGCCCCAGCCCCTCCACTCATTGCTTCTGGGCAACTGCAGCCACTTTTGCGGCTAACATGTGTGCTCAGAGACATGAGCCAGGTCTGAAACCTGTGAAAATCAACCAAAAAGCTACAGCTTCGGGGATTAGCTGGGCTTTCGCAAATGCCCTATGGACTGAAAGCCAAATTTATGCTGTGCAATTCTCAGGCACTAGACGCCTGGCTGACAGGTAGCCACCTGAGAGGGTTGGCGCCACCCTGCCGGCACCAAGATGCAGCAGGAACACTTCAACTCAGGATGTGCCAAGCATCCCTTACATCTCCACACACAGAGCCCTCGATTCAGGGCGCAGCTGACACGGCCCAGCACGGTGCAAGCAGCACACATGGGATTCTAGGTCAGTGTCATTCCAAGGAGAGAAAAGACCCGCACCAGGAAGGCCCAGGCCACCGAACGATTCGACACATGCTGTTCCCACTAGAAAGTGGACACACTTGACCTCACAGCATTGTCTTCTTCTGGCTGACTGCAACAGTCACTGTACTGACCCAGAATCAACGTTGGCTTAGAGTGGGAAATAAAAGACATTAAAAGATTGAGTTCGATTGGGCGTCATGGCACGTGTCTGTAACCTATGCTACTCAGGAGGCTGAGGCAGGAGGAAAAATTAAAAAAAAAAAAAAAAAAAGGGCTAGTGATGTATGATGTAGTTCAGTAATTAAAGCACCCTTGATTCAATCCTCAATGTTTGAAAAAAAAAAAAGATTAGGTCCTTACAATGTAAACGTCTACAAGGGAGTATGTCCTGGAAAAGTTTCAACACTTACCTTTAAATTTTGATCTAATATTTGCCAGCTCCTTGTTTATCCTCTTTATTTCTGCTTCTTTACTTTTGCCTATAAAAAAGAACACAAAGGCATCCTTTAACTGACTTCTAAGAAACAGCATTCCGTGTAAGAACCTCACTGAGAATCAAAGGCACTGGGGCTGCCAGCAGGAACAGCCCTGGAGCCGCCAGAAGCCAGGAAGATATCACGGGAAGAAGCTGGCTGCCTCCCACCGCAGGCCAGCGGCAGAGCCCTGGCCCCCACTCCCTGGCAGGGCCAGCCAGGGCCAGCCAGGGCCAGGCAGGGGCAGGGGCAGCAGGACCAAAGCTCATTGGCTGCGGGGAAGCAGGGCCTCACCGGATGGGCAGCACAGCAGTGTTTTCATCCTGTGTTGTGTCCAGTTACAGGATTGAAGGCACTCGGAACAACCGCTGAACATTTCCCACAATCAGTTCAGTTTCTGATTTTTTTGGTACTAGAGAATGACCCTAGGGGTGCCCTACAACTGAGCTACATCTCCAGCCTTTTTTTTGTTTTAATATTTTAGTTATAGACGGATGCAATATCTTTATTTTGTTTATTCATTTTTATGTGGTGCTGAGGATTGAACCCAGTGCCTCACATGTGTGAGGCAAGCACTCTGCCACTGAGCCACAACCCCAGCCCCTCCAGCCTTTTTTATTTTGAGACAGGGTCTCGCTAAGTTGCCCAGGCTGGTCTCAAATTTGGGATCCCCCTGCTTCAGCCTCCCAGTGATTGGGATTACAGGCATGCATCACTGCACCCAGCCACATTTAGTTATTTATCAGCTAATTAACAGTTCACTCCTGAAACTGATTTCTACAGACAGAAGTTACAAAGGTATAGTTTAACTACCATAGGTTTCCAATTGTCCAACTTAGGAATTAAACTCATCAAAAAACAAAACCTGATAAGTCCACTTTCATAATATCCAATGGAATTCAGGAGCTGCCCATCATACAAAAGAGACAGGAACAGTAACCATGGGACAAGTAAGCTTTTGCTACATGCTACATCAGCTGCTAAAGTGGCCATCCTTCCACACACATCCATGTGCAGGGCTGTGCAGCACAGAAAGACAGCACCACCTGTTGTCCCTGTTTGTGTGTGTTTGTTAGCTTAGGAAGCAGGCTCTCACTAAGTTGCCCAGACTGGCCTTGAACTTGTGATCTTCCTGCCTCAGCCTCCAAAGTTGCTGGAATTGTAAGTGTGGCAACTACACCTAACTGTCATTTAACTCTAAATCTCTGGACTGAGGTGAACACGGAGGCCCAGACCATGCAGCTGAATCTACAGGGGCCACACACCTTACCATACTGGACAAACAAGCTTTTATGTAAAAACAAGTCTATTTAACTATAAATCGCCCTCAGAAAGCATCAGTGAAGCAAGATACAGTGGCCCACACCTGTAATTCCAGCAACTCAGGAGACTGAGACAGGAGGATTGCAAGTTCAAGGGCAGCCTCAGCAATTTAGGTGAGGTCCTAAGCAACTTGGTGAGACCCTGTCTCAAAAAATAAAAAGGGATGGGGATGTAGCTCAGTGGTGTGACAAACAGAAAGCATGGTGGTTCATTTTCAAAATCTAGTATTCAGCCTTAACTGGATTCAACTGTATGTAGAGCTTCCCTTTTGTCCACCCTAATTCTAAAATTAGCCAATCACATAGATTATAACTCCAAGTTCCTCTAATCAGAGTGAGGGCAGCTCTGCATTGAGTTAGACACATAAAGGCAGACTGCCTGCCCAGGCACACTTGCTAGCCAGGTTCAGTAGCAACCCTGCTGCCAGAAGTAAATGTTTGCCTTGCCGAACCACTTTTGAGCATGTGTTTGATTTCTTGAAGTATCTCAGTATTTCTAACAGTGGTTAAGTGCCCCTGAGTTCAATTCCTAGTATCAAAAACAAAAAAAAAAGAAAAAAAAGTAGCACTCCTGGAGCCAATCCTACACGAGCAAGCTCTCCAGGTGCACAAGGAGTCAAACAGGGAGCAGGTTCCAGTGCAGCTAGGCAGAGGACACCCCTGGATGGGCCCTAAGTCTCAGGGCAGGAGCTCGTGTGTCTCAGCTGAGCAGCTGAAGGCTCCACCAGGACACAGAGCAGCCAACATAGTGCTAGCACCAGTGCTGGGTGAGCTGCCTGACATGGCAGACTAAGGGCAAATTACTTTTCTGACATTTTTTCTTAAAGCCCTACCTTTGCTAATGTAGAAAACATTTTTTGGATCTGGCTGAAAGAGCCATGAAAGCTTCTGCCACACACCCAGAGGCCACAGGCAACTGCACACAGCATGGACTGAGCATGCTCCAAGTGCCACATGGGAGCCTCATGTGTCTTGGGTATACGTCTGTGTGTGCCTGCATATTGTACACACACACCTATGTTAATCTATCTCCAAAAGGGACCTGCTCTGCTTTCTGCCATGGATGGCACTATCCACTACCTATGCTCCAGGAAGACTTGCCACCCAGAACCAGAGCTCTGATCTGAAGTAGACAGTACGAACAAGAGAGCTATGGCAGAGGAAACGACAGGGAGCTGAGACAGCTTTCAGAGGGAAGCTACAGACTTAGCCAAGATAGATGAATCACACAAAAAAACTAAAAGATACAAGAGACACAGAAATAAAGCTGTGCTCTGTCAAGGAACATAAACAAAGGCAAAACACTATAGTACAGTCAGTTCACAATACATGCACACACACGCATATGGACATGTGCATACACACAGACACACATACACTCCTGCACGTATATACATACTCATGCAGATGTGCAAACATGCACATGTGCACAGACGTACACCTACACACGCAGATCCATGCACACATGCACATATGCATAAAGACACATGCACACACATACAGACACATGTGCATATACATGCACAGGCACAAATGCACACACACGTGCAAACACACGTGCAAACACACACAATACACATGTACACACATATGCAGACACATGTGTGTGCACGTACAGCAAATGTGTGCACATGCACACACACCTACTTCCCCGAGAGAAGCAGTTCGGTGACAACAGAGGGCATTTAGTGATTCCCAGCTTGGACTCCAAGAGCAGCTTCTGAGGACTCTGTGACCTCTCTGAGCCACAGTTCCCCCACCAGGAAACTACCAAAAGCCATAAGACCTCTTGTCTGAGCAAGAGATGGAAGAAAAGAAGAGGCTATATGCCAGGTCTGAGCCAGGAGCACTCCTGCAGATGCAGATGTCCCACAGAGGGTTGGGAGCAATATGAGGATGGCAGCTGGAGTGACCCTAGGCCTCCACAGAGCAGAGACCACAGGACTGGTGTCTACCCTGAGCTGGACAGGAACAAATCTAGGGAAAGCAGTGGTGCAGCAAACACAGGCTGACAGGGACAGAGACCCCAAAAGCAGCCAACAAAAAGACAGCAGAGAGGAAGCTCTGGGGTAGACAAGCCACTCAGTACCATGCCCCTCTGGCAATTCAGGAAAGATAATTTCACATACAAACAAGTAATCATAGGGTCTGGGGTGTGGCTCGGTGTAGAGCACCTGTTGATAGACCCAGCCTGATTCCCTATTAAAATTGGGAGCCATCTCGCCACAAAGCTATGAAAAGCTAATTTCGGCTTTACTATAAATTACTGCAAATTATGAACTTGCTTGGAATTCCTGCCTGTGCCTTGAACTCACCCATGCCTGGCTCTCTCTGACCAGATAGCAGCCCTCTCTGAAACTTTAGTGATACCTCATAAATCTTGGCCTTCCCTGGCCAGATAACAACCCTCTGAAGCTCTAATGACCTTCATAAATTCTGATGTTCAGGGCCAGCAAAAATGTAAACCAGCCTTTGTGTTATGCTCGTCAGAGTTTTGTTATCTGTAACCCCCCCCCAACCCCGTGTGTAACTTTCTGGGTTATAAAGCTGGGCTGCATGAAAGCTGGGGTGCTGTCTTGTTCCCGCGGTATTTGTTGGGAGAGGCAGCCCAGCTGGTTGAAATAATAAGCTTGCTTTAATTTGATTTTAATTGGAGTCAGTGGTCTTTTCTTGCGTCCTGGTCTAACATTTTGGAGTTCCCCGGCGAGATGACCCTGCCCGACCAGACCACAAGACCAGACTGCTGGAAATTCTAAAGCCGGCCTTCGCTCCAGGGCTCCGGGCTGGAGAGCCACTCTAGGGGGTGCGCACCTTGAGACATTCCAAGGCCTCGGAGTGAGCCTCAATCCCAGGAGTACTGCAGTGAACTGCCGCCCTAAAACAATTAGCAAACATCTGGTGGAGGAGGCCTCCATAGGTAAGTGGCGCCTTTATAACATCTGGTATTTGGTTAAGGGAGATCTCTTCTGAAGACAGAGAGGTGGCCTGGCGAGGCTCACATATACTCCTGTCCGGGACAGTAATGAGATATCATTCTGTCCTCTGTTCTGTTCAGTAGGGAATTCCTCTGGAAGGGTAGAGAGGGGCTGATGGGCATATACGCCCTCCTACTCCCGGAGCTTTAGCAAGATGTTGCATTGCTCCTCTGTTTTTTCAGTTTTGGCGCCGGGTTTCTGTTTTCTTGTGTTTTGTTCTGTGTTCTATGTTTTGTTTTTTTTTCCTGCCTTTTGTTGTGTGACTTCTGTGGTAAAAACTTAAGGAAACTGGACATGAAAATGGGTAATAAAGCAAGTAAGCCTGACACCCCTTTGAACTGTGTTTTAAGGAACTGCGATAAAACTTTACCCCCCTTTGTTAAGCAGGTTGAGAGAAGCCCCTAGTTGGCTCCCTGGAGCACACCCACTGCAGAGGGCAATGCCTGCTGGGGACCTAAGAACTGAATATCTCCCAGATTAGCAAATGAAACTCCTTTAAAACCCCTGTCCCTCCAGATGAAGAGAGTCACAACCTTTGGGGCAGAGTCCCCTGTGTTTCTCCTTTGTTAGCAAAGCAATAAACCTCCCTTTTTTTTTTCTTTTTCTGAAAATCCTGTCCTCATTATTAAATTGGCATCAATTAACTTTGAGGACTGGAACTGAACTTTCAGTTACAAATTTTGATACCCCATGGGGGACTCTAGAGGAC